ACCAAAGGGAAGAGTTGCCAACAATTGGGTTGAACCAAAAGGAAGAGGCCAACAATTGGGTTGAACCAAAGGGATGAGAGGCCAACAATTGGGTTGAACCAAAGGGAAGAGAGGCCAACAATTGGGTTAAACCAAAGGGAAGAGTTGCCAACAATTGGGTTGAACTAAAGGGAAGAGGCCAACAATTGGGTTGAACCAAAGGAAGAGAGGCCAACAATTGGGTTGAACCAAAGGGAAGAGAGGCCAACAATTGGGTTGAACCAAAGGGAAGGGAGGCCAACAATTGGGTTGAGCTAAAGGGAAGAGAGGCCAACAATTGGGTTGGACCAAAGGGAAGAGAGGCCAACAATTGGGTTGAACCAAAGGGAAGAGAGGCCAACAATTGGGTTGAGCTAAAGGGAAGAGAGGCCAACAATTGGGTTGAGCTAAAGGGAAGAGTTGCCAACAATTGGGTTGAACTAAAGAGAAGAGAGGCCAACAATTGGGTTGAACTAAAGGGAAGAGAGGCCAACAATTGGGTTGAACTAAAGGAAAGAGAGGCCAACAATTGGGTTGAGCTAAAGGGAAGAGAGGCCAACAATTGGGTTAAACTAAAGGGAAGAGTTGCCAACAATTGGGTTGAACCAAAAGGAAGAGGCCAACAATTGGGTTGAACCAAAGGGATGAGAGGCCAACAATTGGGTTGAACTAAAGGGAAGAGGCCAACAATTGGGTTAAACCAAAGGGAAGAGTTGCCAACAATTGGGTTGAACTAAAGGGAAGAGAGGCCAACAATTGGGTTAAACCAAAGGGAAGAGTTGCCAACAATTGGGTTGAACTAAAGGGAAGAGGCCAACAATTGGGTTGAACCAAAGGGAAGAGAGGCCAACAATTAGGTTGAACCAAAGGGAAGAGGTGCCAACAATTGGGTTGAACCAAAGGGAAGAGAGGCCAACAATTAGGTTGAACCAAAGGGAAGAGAGGCCAACAATTGGGTTGAACCAAAGGGAAGAGAGGCCAACAATTGGGTTGAACCAAAGGGAAGGGAGGCCAACAATTGGGTTGCATGTGAAGTCCAAACTGTGAATAGCTACAATGTCCCATATTATTGAAGAAGGTTCCCCAGTACAGGTTCTATGGTGAGGTGGTGGACCTACATTTTGGCAACATCTGAAGTTCTGAGTTTATGAGGCCAGGCCAGTGAGGGAATGAACTGCACATGGGTCACCTAGACGGCGTTGTGAAGTAAGAGGGAACTGATCAGCGGGAGAAAAACCCAGAATTGACGAAAGACAAACATAAGGATGACTGGGCAATTTACTATGATCCAAACAATTTAACCTTATTAACATCAAATAAAAGAAAGCCAAGATGGGAAATTTGCTGAATTAAAAAATATCATTATCAATATTCCATGGATATAATATAATAAATATTCTGTTACAAAGCTCTTCCTCTATGGGAACAGTGACTCACATTTTGAAAATTTTATAGCTGTTGACATGAATCTTGCATATTTAGGTCAAGGTTTGCATCCTGAATGTGGTCCCTAGTAGTTTTGAAATCATTTTTCTCCAGACAGGAAGAGGAGCTTTGCGTCTATATGTAGGGACATTGTCTTCTTGGAGGGAATTTTTGACTTTGACATGACAGTGGAATCCTGAAGTTAAGTTTCAGAAAATGCAGTTCACAGCACCCATGGCCTTAAAGTCTGCTCAGTGTTCTTCATTTTGTCTTCCTTAATCTACCCAGCATCTCCACCAAAATGTCATGTAGATAATTAGGAAAGAAACATGAGGATGACAATTTTTATTAAAACAAGTCAACCATATAAAGAATATCGATTCCAAAATTCATGTAACAAGTTAAAGCAATGTTTAGTTTATTTTTGTTCCACTAGATGGTGCTCTGCCATCTAAAATGCTCATGTGAGTGGTTAGAATAAGCCATTTTTATTTTTAATACTGAATATTCTGCAATATATACGTTAATACAATACTACATACTGTAATACCATACTAATTTTTTTTTTGCTTATCCCTAGTACACATGGTACAGGTCATGATAATCATGGTGGGTAGAAGTAGGCGACTGCTTTTACTGTAAGTGCACCACATGTCTATACATGTGAAAAGCAGTTCGACTTTGCACTTACAAATGTGCCAGAGCCCCGTTTGGTTTACAATACTGCATACTGTATATTAATAAATTCTTATCTTCACGCTGCACTATTACTACTACAGTAAAACCTCTATGAGAGGACACTCATGTTAGAGGACACCTCTCTACAAAGGACAGTTTTCATTGCCACCATTACCATTTTTACTATTTAGCAACTCTCCAGTAAGAGGATACCTCTCTCTAAAGAACGCTTTGGCTTGACATTTAGGTGTTGTCCTTTACAGGAAGGTAGTTCTACTGTACTCATGCTAATGATAATAATAATATAAATGAAATGTTGGTTGGACAAAACATCCCTTCAGTCAGAACCTGGGTCATTTGCATAGTCCCCCCCACAAAGATCTATAAATATAAATAGATTCTCCATAGTTTTTGTGAAGAAGGATAGACAAGAGTTCTATCAAATGTAGATAAGACAGACCAACAATAGATGATAAGGCATGGAGAAACTGAACTTAAACCTCCCCCCTCAACTTCTTGCTAATTTTCCTGTGTTACCTTTGCTCTTGTTTCTTACTTTCTAAAATTCAATGCAGGTCAAGCTACAGTAGAACATCCATGAGAGAACACTCTCACTAGAAGACACCTGGTAATAATTTCAAATCCAAATTAAAAAAATTAATAGTGTGTTATTTATATATGGATTTAGTCTTATTACCTTGGGTTGATAAACTACAATCCAAATTGTACCTTAACATAGAGGACGTCTCTTATATAAAAGACCAATTTTCATCGCCAAAATTACTATTTTCACCAATTAGCTGCTTTCCAGTAAGAGGCCACCTCTCCCTAAAGGACACTTTGGCTCTACAACGAGGTGTTGTCCTTTACAGAGAGGTAGTTCTACTGTATATACATGTCTTCTAAGGAAACAGGGAGGGCAATAAAGATCATCTGTGCTGGTGGGAAATAAAATTTATTGAGTATCCCCTAAAAGAGAACATCAGTTTCTCAAACCTCCATCCACCATGATCATCATAATCAGTTATACCAACATATTGGACATCATTCAACACATTGGAAGCACAGATTTCAGGCTAAATGGAAACAACCCCTCAGGTCCCCCCAACCACACAAGAGGGTGTATGAGATTCCCAATGCAACAAGAGAAAAGTATATCAGCAAGCCGGCAGATGGTTAAATCCTCAGCAGGAACCTTCATTTGTCAAGTCCCACATCTTCATAAAAAGAAGAGTGACTGGAGATAAAAAATATATATATATATCTGGTCTAGAACAGAGATTCTCAACTTCTGGTCCAGCAGACTAGTCCACTAAAATTTTTACCCAGTCCTCCGAGATTTTTTTACCTGTTTACATTAGAGAAAAAAAATCCTTATTAAAAAACTGTGTTTCTTTTTGTAGTTAATGACTCTTAATTTTAGGAATTAGGATTTTAAAATAGAGTTAAACCTGTCTATAGCGCCCCTTCTTGGGACTCACCAAAATAGAGTACTATAGAGAGGGGGTGCTATAGACAGGTCACTTTTAATGTAAATCGTATCGTACTACATATTTAAAATCGGGCACTATAGACAGGTTTAACTGTATGAATTAACTTCGGTAGTTTTCTTTAATAGAGTAAAACCCCGCTAAAATGAACCTGGGATATAGTGAACCTTCCCTTATAACAAACCTGAAATAGTCCCCATATTTATTTTATAATACAGTGAACTGTGGCTATAATGAACCATGACTATAGTGAACCACAGGTTCAGTCCCATTGGGATTCGCTATAGAAAGGCTTTACTGTACCTAGCAAAGTTTTTTTGTTTTTTTCCAAATTTTTTAGCTGTCTCAAGGTAATAAGACCAAATCCAAATAAATGGTATATTTATTTGGATTTTGTCTTATTACCTTGTGTTTCTAATCTATAATCTAAATTGTACCTTTATCACTTTCACCCAGTCATGATGGTTGTCAAGCTCTAAAAACTTGATACCCTAATATGATTGAGTGGAGATAAGAAAGAAGAAGAAGCTGTCTGAGAGCCAAAAAAGGGCTGAGACATGCTGCTCTATTAAGATATGCAGCTAGTCCACAGTGACTCACCTATTGATCTTGGGGCTGGTGAAGTGCACCTCGTCAGAGATGATGTAGACCACATTCTCCTTGTCTTCCTCATCCCCTCCTGCAGGCTCTGTCACCTCCTCGTCATCTGTCACCACACAGTTGACATCTCTCCAACATCTTAGGTAGCTGTAGAAAACAATAATTTCCTGTTTCACATGGATGCAAATTTCATGCCACACATATATTATTTTAAAATCACAAATATTTTCTCACAATGAGTTTCTTTTTATTAAAAAAAAAAAAACACTAGCTTTCTATAATTAGCGATAAACACTTGAAAGCTAGCGTTTTATAATAAAAAGAAACTCATTGTGAGAATATATTTGTAATTTTAAAACTTTTTCACAATTTTATCATGAATACACATGTATTATGTTGCCTATATATACAGTAGAACCTCTATGAGAGGACATTGACGCTAGAGGACTACTCCTATACAAGGAACAGTTCTCATTTGCCAAATTTCCATTTTTACTATTTATCCGGTAATAGGGCAAACCTCTCTCTAAAGAACACTTAGGTGTTGTCCTTTACAGGGAGGTAGTTCTACTGTATGTATTATTATGTTGCCATCTTGTTCTTTAAGCTGAAGAGCTGTGCTTGAAACAAAAAAATATTTGTGAGATTTTTAGCAATTAAAGAGTAGCATCTTTATAAAATTTAACTCTATGAATAAACACAAGGTAATAAGACCAAATCCAAATAAATAAATAGTGTGTGACGTTTCGGGGACAGCGTTGTTACCATCTTCAGACAAAAGTACTGAACGGGCTGGTGGCGCAGTGGTAGCCGGTCTGACTCCAGATCAGAAGGTTGCATGTTCGAATCACGTCCGGCTCATTTTTTCATTCAGTACTTTTGTCTGAAGATGGTAACAACGCTGTTACCGAAACGTCGCACACTATTTATTTATTTGGATTTGGTCTTATTACCTTGTGTATTCTTCCCCGGCAGACACCATCAAAAATCTCAAGCTTTACGAGCTTGAGCTTGATACCTTAGTATGATTGAGTGGAGATAAGAAAGAAGAAGAGACCTTGTGTTTATAATCTATAATCCAAATTGTGCCTTATCATTATGAATAAACCTTCAAATGGTGGATGCTACTCAGTTTGACAAAGCTGGTGTTATGGCTTTGTCACCATCTCGAGGCCACTAGTTTGTGGTGATAGACAATAGATGGAGTTTTTGACGTTTAATTTGATGGGAGAGTTGACCTTTTCTTTTATAGATCTTTTTCCTCCCAGCAAGAGTTCCACCCCAGGGGGGGTTGGTGGAAGGAGGGTCAAAACCATTGGTTTTCGACCGCTACGACCAGGATTCGATTCCCGCATTGGGCACTTTTTTTGCCGATAAAAAAAATGCTCCAATGCCCCCCCCCCCCCCCCCCTGATTCTTGCAAAAGTCCAACCCCACCAGCGAGTGCAAGTATCCAAACTGGGCTCTGGCACATTTGTAAGTACAAAGTTGAACTGCTTTTCACATGTGTAGACATGTGGTGCACTTTAGAGTAAAAGCAGTCGCCCCACTTCTACCCACCATGATTACCATGGCCTGTACTACGTGTACTAGGGATTAGCAAAGAATATATATATACTAGGTGAATGACCCGGCTTCGCCCGAGAAATCCCTTGGGTGCAATTTCCTTCATACTAAAAGTATATCAATAATAAATATTAGAAGTGCCATAGAATAGCAATACAGAAGTAACACATAAACTACAGGAAAAAAGTGTGTGTGATGGCAAAAATTGTATTATATTAGTGTTTAGGTATTTGATTTAATTAATATAGTTGATATAATAATATATATTTATATTATATATAATATAAATGAGTTTTAAAAATTGTAAAAAAAAAAATGCATCGGCCGGGAATCGAACCCGGGCCGCCCGCGTGGCAGGCGAGCATTCTACCACTGAACCACCGATGCTTAAAAAAAATGGCCATATTTAGGTATTCATTCCATTCCGGATTAGTCCGCGTAAAAAAAGGTTCTTCAAATGAAAAAAAGAAATAGCCAAAAATACTAATCAAAATGCAGCCGAAAATTTTCCTCAGGTTTATAAAAAGCGACATGCAAAATTTGGTACCAATTGGTTCAGTAGTTTTTGAGTTTATCGCGAAACAGACATTGACTTTTATATATATAGAGATATAGTTCCATCTATACAATAGTTGTAGAAATATCTGATAGATTAAATTGGCAAAAATCTCTGGGAAGGCTCACCGTAGATGAGCCATCCCAATTCTTGTTCATCTTGAATTGACTAATTGTAGAAATTTGTCCTATATATGTGTGTATGTATGATCAAAATAAGTATTATTGAATAATTCCATCCTCAACAAACAGAGTGCATATTCAACACAAAGCAATAACACGCCATCTATACATATAAAATGAAAGGATTTAAAAGCACGAATGTTTCTTTTATACATAATACAAACTTCTACTGCCCTTACTGCGATGAAAAAAATATATTGGTAGGGCTTGGCTCATCAGTGGTGAACCCTCCCAGAGGTTTCACCAATTTAATCCACCAGACCGCTTCTCAGAGCTCTAATACTGTATTGGACAATTCTGTTTATATACGCAGCATTGAAGGATGGAATCTCAGAAATGGTTTTCAAGCAAACTATGGACATAAGCTTATAGGACAGTAGAATTATATTCAAATATTTGCATTGAGCAATGCTCCTCCGCAAACAATAGTATTGTGTATAAAGGAAACATTCGTGCTTTTAAATCCTTTCATTTTATGTGAGAGTGCATATTGTTTATATCAAAATATTACCAATTAAATAGGTATATGAATGGACAAGTAAAGAAGGCTTCTATTAAAATTAAAAAAAAAAACTGTTTTCATTAACTCACATCATCCACAAGTCGGCCTGCCACTGAGTAGTGCTCCCAGTCTTAATGACAAAAGCAGACGCATTCTACTTCACCAAGTTTGATACCCTAATATGATCAAGTGGAGATAAAGAAAGAAGAAGATCCACAAGAGATAGATAACTAAATACTCTGAAAAAGAATGTTTTTTTTTTTTTGTTTTGTTTTTTTTTTTTGTAGAGAAGAATCAGGTTTTTATATTTTCCTAATTTATCAGAGACATTTGATTCCCTATGATCAATTATGAATGTGAGAGCTGGACTCTCAGAAAAGAAGAAAGAAAAAGAATAGAAGCTTTAGAACTGTGGACATGGATAAAGGTACTTAAGAGTGCCATGGACAGATAGAAAGACAAATAAACAAAAGGTAATAAGACCAAATACAAATAAATAAATAGTGTGTGACGTTTCGGTAACAGCGTTGTTACCATCTTTAATGTTGTTACTGAAACGTCACACACTATTTATTTGGATTTGGTCTTATTACCTTAAAATCTATAATCCAAATTGTTCCTTATCAGAAAGACAAATATTTCAATCTTAAATGAAATTAATCCTGGTAGGTCCCTAGATTCCCAAATATGTAAACAAAGACTGACCTATTTAGAATACATGAGAGCAAATGGATTAGAAAAGATGTTGACGCTGGGAAAAATTGAAGGAAGAAGATAGGAAGACCTGTAATGAGTTTGCTAGAAGGGGTCAAGAAAACTACCAGGTCATTAGATAAGCTACGAATGATGGTCAGTAACAGAACAAATTGGATAATATTTGTCTATAGTGTCACCAAAGGTCGAAGTAGAAGGACACTAAAACATTGGCTTGTCTCATAATAAGGTGATAGAGATTCTAATATATAGAGAGATCTTATTATAAAGACAAGTGGGTAACACCCTCGATTCCCGACAGTCATGAACCGGGATTGTATCCCACGTTAACATTTGGTTTTAATATGTGAATAACCTTTACATATTAGTCATTGTTGCAAATATCATAAACTAGGTTGCTCTTTTTGAGTGGTACCTAATTAAGTGATTTTGGAACAGAGATCTTATTAGAATTTCACTCAAGTGATTCGGACTCCTAGCATGTGGCTGCAACTTTCGAATGTGTTGCCGTACTTGCCCGGTTTCCTGACCGGGCTTGCATATGCGACTGCCCCTGTACTTTGGAACACTGCAACAGAGCATTGCGGTCTGTTTGCTCTCCACGGTCACCCTTGGGATCAATACTCATACTATTGGTCCCGTCTCTGCCTACCCCTGATCTCTGCGGATCACCACCCTGATCCTCCTCTACATCCCGGCTCTCCTGACCTTACCCGGCGATGATCCCCTGGCCAACCATCCCCAGGCCCCTCCAACAATACAATTTATATAGTGCTTTGTATATATTTTGCTTTATGCATCCATCGGGGCTCAAAATAAACTCCGCCTTTGCCGGTCCCAAGGGATACAGGATGAGCAGCGTTTTGTAATCCATGTTAGGAGCAACTGCACATGGCGTCTGTTCCTCATGTCAGAGGCGGCCATTTCTTTTGGAGCTAAGTCGGCCTGCTACTGAGTAGTGCTCCCAGTCTTAATGACAAAGGCAGACACATTCTACTTCACCCAGTCATGATGGTTGTCAAACAGACACCATCAAGGGTCACAACTTGATATCCTAATATGATTGAGTGGAGATAAGAAAGAAGAAGAAGAATCGGGGCTCAAAAATCATCCATTCTGGTTAGCAGCCCCATGAATAAAGATATTTCTTTATTAGAAACTGCAGTGATGCAGGATAGGTTCCATCAGCTTGTCAATTTGTGCAAGTAAGAAAGCATTTTCCTTTGGTTGCGTGAGCTGTCTTAGACAGAGGATCATGTCTCTTCTGTCAGAGTGGACATTTCTCCAGGAGCAATGATGCCACAGTACTAAGGATGTCACCACTCCAGGTTTTGATGAGTAGTTGGTTGTCACATCATTTGGGTGAATTATAAATGTCCACAGGTTTCTTAGGAAGGAAGAGAATTCTTCTTTATTTTGTAACATCTCTTATCATACATCTGAGATAGAAACAAGTATCAATAATAATTTGAAAAACAGATAATAGCATCTGTGGTTGATAAGGCACAATTTGGATTATAGATTATAAACACAAGGTAATAAGACCAAATCAAATAAATAAATAGTGTGTGACGTTTCAGTAACAACGTTGTTACTATCTTCAGACAAAAGTACACACTTTGAAGACAACTTTACTTTTTGTTAACGAAACGTCACACACTATTTATTTATTTGGATTTGGTTTTATTACCTTAAGTTTATAATCTGTGGTTAATTAAAAAATGTTCAGAACGTCTAATTTTTCACAGGTTAATAAAAAATAAATGGAAAAGCTAAGTTAAAAAGTTATTTTTGTATGCACATATTTCAAACTAACTCTACTTAATACTACAAACTCACACTATGTATTTATTTTGATTTGGTCTTATTACTTTGTGTTTATAAAGGTCTGCTCTTATGTTGGCTTGTTTTGTTTTTATCTCTACTCAGTTGAAAAAAATTACATGGTCGTCTCCATCATATATTCTTTCCAAATTATAAGGCTTGATAAATGACTCTCAAAGGTGATAAGGCACAATTTGGATTATAGATTAGAAACACAAGGTAATATTAAAGATAGAGGCTGCCTGGCCGGCATTCATAGTTCTTCAAATTAAAGATACTTAGGCCAGTAAATCTTTTTTTATTGTCTCGACGTTACGACAAAAATCTTTTGTCAGGAGCGAACAAAAATTGCCAAAACGCCGAGACAATAAAAAGATTTACTGACCGAAGTATCTTTAATTTGAAGAACAAGGTAATAAGACCAAATCCAAATAAATAAATAGTGTATGACATTTCAGTAACAGTGTTGTTACTATCTTCATACAAAAGTACTGAAACAACTTTTGTCTGAAGATGG